GCTCAGTGTTTCATTTCTTAATATCTGTAGTAGTGGTGTGTTGAAAGACATATCTATGCCACAACTCTTGTTAGAAGACACCAGGGTCCTGGTAAAATGGGAATTTTCTCTTGGGGAGGATAAATCACCTGATTTGAGTAGCTAAAGAATCATGTGGCTTGCAAACCAAGAAGCTTAAAGCTTTGTTAAGGCAGCAAGAACTTTAAACTAAAAAAGGTAGACAGACGTGGCAGACATGGAGGTACACTGGCTGCCCTGGTAAATGTTGCGGTAATTTTCCAAATACAAGGCTGGTATAAAATGCATCTTCAAGGTGACAGGTACATTGTGCAGGCCGCTGCATAATAGGCAGGGACAACAATTTAGAACCAATTTTATAGCCGGTACACCACCTCAGAAGCTACAGACTGACTGCGTAAAGGTGGTTTAAGTTGTTATTCAAAAAAGGCTTTTAAAGCTGTATAACCTTTAACAGTTATTACTATTAGTGAAATAAAAGCCTCCATCATAAAGCACTCTAAACCAAATAGTCCACAACACTTTTTGCTACAAAATACATTATCAGGCTATATAAACACCAATAACCATAGCTGCACTGTCTGCCAGATGCCTGCTGCTCTGTGTTGACACAGTCAGGTTTAAAATAAGGACTGACCACAATAAACACGCTTTGTTTTAGGAAGTTGATTGTAAAGTAGAATCTGCAGCCCTGTAAGTCTCTGATATTTTGATAAACCACACCAACATTATAGAAGTAAATTGCTATAGGGATCCAGCCTTGTAAATTAACCATATTGGCCAGTCTAGCCATGATATACCTGTTATTCCAAGCATTCCTGCTATGTATGTCACATGTGTAGATGGTATGCAGCCTGCAGTCTATTCTGTGCATGAAGGAGATATATTCCATATAGTATTTGGAATTCCATATACTTCAGTTGGAGAAAGGCCAGATATTTTAAAAGACTTTGGGAATTATACAGTCACATATTGAAAGTCTCACCCAAGGTACTGCAGAAAATATGTCTGAATGAATTTCCAAGCCTGTGTTGGGGAAGCTGGAAGCAGCAGAAAATCAAGGAGGGCTTGCAGCTTATTCATATACACAGGAAAACTTTAAAAGAAAGAGAGGCTTGTCATGCCTTCTGGCAAGGGGCAGCCTCTGTCTGTCCTTTAAAAAGATGAGGACAGGAGGCACCAGACAGCAGTCTGGCTGTAAAGAAGAAAAATAACAACCCAGGCCAAACAATGAAAAAGAAATTGAAAGCCTAGGGGGAAAAAAAAATTCTGTTGTATGACTGGTAAAGGAGATAGATAATTTAAAATGGATGAGTTACATTTAAGGCTCCTCAGGAACAGTAGTACAGCAAATCAAAGCTGGATTTCTTTGAAGCATTAGGAGGACCATGAAGGTGACTCCACTTTCCACAGCACACTGCACCTCTGGGCTTCTCCATAGCCAGGACTAGGGAAGATTAGAAAGATCTGAACACATGTTAAAATTAGGCTCATGCAGCAAAGACAGTGACTGATGTGCTTCTTGGCAATAGGGACCTGCAAGCCAGTTGTTACCCACTGCAGTGGTGTGTTTTTAATAAGTTTGAGATTTGTTGCACAAATGGTTTGTTCTGTTTTCCCCCTTTGATGTTGGTTTCTTCCAAGTTGTACCCTCCTCCCTACTGCCATCAATCATTGTACCCCAACCACTTTTTCCAGCACCTTCCCTGTCAGTCCTTGTGACCCTACCTCTTTATCCAGATCCCTCCCTGTCAGTCTTGCTTAGCACCAACCCTTTGTTCTAGAATCTTCTCTGTCAATCACATTGTATTTGATGTTCCATTGGATTTTGTTAATTGTTCCTGCCCCCAAAGCTTTCCCATTGGTTTATGTACTGTAGGCTCTGCCTTAAACTCCTCCCCTAAAGCTTCCCCATTGGTTCATGGTTTGTATCCTCCCCTTGCTCCTCCCCCATATATAAGATGTTGCATAGCTTACAACTTCTGTGTTTTGTCCCTGGCTCCTTTGGAGATTAAGTGTATCTTCAAAACCTATACAAAAGATCTCCCCTCATTCTTGCCTCCACACTGCACCTTACCAGCCAAAAGTGCCGTAGAGCTTTGCTCTAAGCCACACCTCAGGTCATCCTGCTCCCGAGGTGTGTCCCACTCCCAACACGGGGCAGAGGGAGAGCTAGCCAGCTCTGGCACTGCGTCAACCCATGGCATGCTGTGTGTGAAGACAGCGTGGGTGGCACACAGGGTGTGTTTGGGACACAATGAGTCTTTACACAGAGCCAACATTAAAGACTGGATTGACCAGGTGGACAAGAAAGGGTTCAACAAAACAGGCAGGCAGCCATGTCAGAAATCAGGAAAATTTGTTTCTGAAACAACTGCTGGAGTTTCTTGTTGTGTTGTATCATTGCGACAGGTAACAGGGCTTTTGCTCGAGGCAAAGGCCAAGGCTTTTTTGCCCCTTGCAGACAGGGTGATAGGAGACATGGGTCTAATTCAAATGAAGTTTTCCACTTAATTTGACAAACCTAGTTCCCCTCAGCTCATAAGGTGCTTTGTGTACTAAATTGAGTTTGCAACACTCCCTTCCCAGAGCTGGCAGGCAAGATCACAATCCTTCAAGCTAGCATGCCACAGGTTAACTAAGTACTTAGAGTTACAAGTTACAACTTAACACTAAAAAAACAAACTGTTTAGAACTGAGATTATGCCTTTACTCTATAAACATGAAACAAGAAACATTCAACCTTTAGAACTGTGAGAAAAAACTAAACAGAAAAAAAATTTGTAAACAGAGTTTTTAAATGAACTGTCATTTCAAGAGTCACATATTTTCATGAGGTAGGTAAATTGGTTGTTCTGGTTACTCTTCTTCAATCTGCTCTACCACATCTGTTGAGGTACTGTCAGGAGGATTTTTTTTGTGGTCCCAGTCAGGACATAGAGCAGGACAGACACATCTGGCAGGTACCCAATGTGTTCCAGTGTCTGTGGAAACACAGGCATATCCCCTTCCCCAGGTAATGAGGCTCCACAAGCCTCCCCACTTATTGGTGAGAAGGTCTTTCACCATTACTTTGGGCTTAGGCAACAGTTTATCTCCAGGTGATTGTAATGATAGTGATTTAAAATGACTGGGTTCTGGGACTTTGCTGATACTGTTAAATGATTTAATGTATAAATAGCCTTAGCTACCTTGCTCAGTGGGTCTCACCAGATATTCTTCCCTTTTGTTTTTCAGGAATACATTTTAAAGCGCTACATGCTCCTTCCATGATGGCTTGTCCTGTCGCTAATCAGGGAATACCAGTGTGGTGTGCTACCTGTAGGAAATGTCTTGTTTTCTGTGAGATGCATGCAGGGCCATTGTTTTGATGGTGTCAGGGATGCCCAAAACAGCAAAGGCTGACTGCCAATGTGCAATGGCATTCCGACCCTTTTCTCCTGTGTGTACTGTAGCCCATATTCCTGATCAAAAGGTACCAAGAGATAAGTGTACATATTTTAAACATCTGAATTCAGATGAACTGTGACATCAGTTTGCTGATATAAATATCAGATTTATAAGGCATGCAGTCCACGAGGATTTACTCCTATCTGCAGTGGTGCAGTGTGGCCTTGGCAGTCAGCAGAGGTGCTAACAATATTATGAGGCTCTGTGTTTGTCAGCTGGAATTGCCGTTCTAAGGCCCAAACCCCCTGGTGGAAGAAATCGTGTGATGCCTTTTCTTGTGCCAGCATGTCTGCCTGTGGTGCTGTCCAGGCAGGGCTTGCTAGCATGTTGGCTCTGACGTTGCCCTCTGTGATAAAACCTAGTAGATTTGTGTGACTCCTAAAGTGTAAGATGTAACAGGGGTAGGTTCTGGCTTGGATGCAATGGCATAGAGTTTTTAGCAGAATGAATAATTGTGCATTGTCAACTTCCTTTAATAATGCTTGGTCTAATCTCTGTGTGATGTCAGCTATGTATGCAGGATCAGTTATTATATTTAGAGGAATGTGGGGAAAAGGTTGGAAAGCTACAGCACGGAGATCTGTTCTGATAACTTTCCAATGTTTGCCACTCACTTTCTTCTTTCCATGTTATTATAGTTTCTCCTGTTTTCCCAGAGCTATCTGTAAACACTCTAACACCCTTTAAGGATGTTCTCCTATTCAGAAGTTTAAGAGACAATGCAGTTTTCCCACTTAACTTTAGAAATCTATGGTAAATGATATGTGAAATTTTGCAGGGCACTTTACAAGGCTGTACTGTTAGCAAAACACTGAAGTGTTCTTGTGTCACACGTATAATAATTTGTGAAGGATCCTTGGCATTCAACTGTAAACACCTGTGATGACATTTGATAATTAATTGTGCAATTAGCTGAAATACTATGGGTGGTGTCTTTTCTGGTTGATGAGGTAAAAACATCCACGATAGGATGTGTAAAGGATCAGGCCAATGTTTGTTCCACTGTCTTATAATACCAGTAGAGTGAAGATTTACAATGAGAACAAATACAGTAATACACGCCTCTGGGCATATTCCATGGACTTGTTTGAGAGTGGCTTTTGCCACTGGGGTTAATTTTTTGTGTTTCAAGTCTACTACCAGAAGGTCCCAGGAGGTAGGTATCATGGTAGGAGATGGCATAGTAGCTTGTACTGTGTCTATGCTCTTCATCACTGAATTGCCCTTTCTTAGGTCATGGGGAAACCTGCATTTACCAGATCTCTTTTTTATGACAAATACTGGGGTGTCCCAAGGGCTCACAGATGGCTCTATGTGTCCTTGAGCTAGCTGTTCTTTTCCTAATAATTTTAGGGCGTCTAGCTTCTCCTTTTCAAGGGACCACTGTGGTACCCACTGATTAATAATTCTTTTTGGGATATAATTTAACAATAATAATAAACACTATAATACAGATTAGAAGTTCTCGTGCATATATATATATATATATATATATATATATATATTAAAGCTTTTGTTTCAGTCTTGAGTACCTGTGGGTTGAAGTAGACATGTTTGCATTTTTTATCAGGGTTTGTTGTCTGAAGCTAACATGTCCTGGGATGGCGTTTGATAGGAGTGGTGGTGGAGCTGGAGCTGGTGTTAGGTGAAGACTTTGGTTGTCTCTATGGAGATCGTGCCTTGAAGGTTTCTTTGTGCTGTGTGGTTCCTTGGGGCTGGGATTGCCTTGGCTGTAGCTGTGGTGAAGCTGGAACTGTGCTGAGTGCGGGCCCCGGCACTGGGGCGCAGCTTTCTGTTTCCGGTGCACTTCCGGGTATGGATCGGACACCACGTGACATCAGCTTGGGCCCCGCCCCCCAGCAGCGGCAGGCAGGCGTGGCCAGCCGAGGCGGGACCGCGGGCGCGGCTTCTGGGCTGAGCCAATCAGCTCCGGGCAGGGGCGGTTCCAGGCGTTTCCATGGTGCCGAGGGGCGTGGGCGGTGCCGGTGGCTGGGGGGTGGTCCCGGGGGTGGTCCG